CACACACACACACACACACACACACACACACACACACACACACACACACACACACACACACACACACACACACACACACACACACACACTCACTCACTCACAAACGCGCACGCACAAGCACGCACGCACATAAATGCGTACACGCGTTCACACAAATGCGTACACACGTTCACACACTCACACCAACACACGCGCCTGCACGGGCGCACTAACGCACGTACAAGCCAAAAATCAAGAAAAGATTCTTTTAAATTGTGACTTTTGGTGCGAGAGGCACCAACCGCACACACGCATGCAGTTCTTGTTCAAAACCAAGGGCATCTACACAATTGCTTTACTACGGTAAAATGCTCGATAGGACAATAGGGGGCCCAGGTAGGGGCAATGAAAAAGTGTACTCTTTGTATGCTTGTGGAAATGCTGACAATTGTGAACGGCCACTTCACCTACCAGTTTCTTAGCCAGAGATGGGTCCTGAGAAGTCATCTCCAATGCCTCCAGGTTTACTGCCGACTTCAGTGGTATTAAAACCGGCAATTCCAGATCTACTGGACTGCTGCACTGACATTTTCATTACCGAACAGGTCCGTCAATAGGGAGGAGTTTTTGGTCCACCTGTCTCCCGAGCTCGTTCACGTCCAGTGAAGGTTCTGTCAAGAGCTTCAATACTGTTTTTTCAAAACCTGAAAAAGAAAACAGTAGGCATGCCACTGACATTGGTTACCTTATGTCCGGCTTTTCAGTTACATTTTTGATACAGCGATTACGGACCCCAAATGATTTTGTCTCCCGTCGGAATTCCCTCTGTGAGTCTCACGTCGGAAAAAGCCCTATTCAAAAGATAATTTGGGTGCTCCCAAATAACGAAACAAATTCTAAGCTGTAACCAAATACCCTTTCCCTTGCCTCTCCCGCTGGCTGCTGAGGCTTGCTGAGGCTCTTCCTCTTCTGCGTCTGCCTCTGCGTCGATCCTGGCGCACTCAGGCTCAGCAGCCGAGAGATCACCACTGTGTGCTTGGATCGAATCCTTCACCTGCAAGTACAAAATAATAAGTAAAACTATTGCAAAAAATGATTGCAAATTGATTTTTTAGATACATTGGACCCTGTGATAGTAAAGATACATGTTTACATAAAAAGTATCAATAGTCTAACAATATGTAGCTGTACTTACACTACTAACTGGCTCTAGTCTGTGGTAAGTGATCTTTTGGAGGAAGTGCAACTTCTGCAGGGTCCAGAGTTCCCTCTCTATGAAGATCTGTTGCCCGGACCAGGACTTGGGAGCTTGTCCAGGCAAGCAAAGTTGTCTCTCATGCCCTTGAACCACCATTGCAGGTGAGAGACTTCGTTTGGCATGGCTTCTGCCTGCTTCTGCCATGCAGTGTTCTTCATGTCAGGTCCATGTCTGTAGTGCGTGGGCTTCTAGTTCCACAGCATTTCGTTTGCCTCCAAGCAGGCGACCATCAACCCCTCCTCATCGGACAGCTTGTTGTCCTTCTTGTCCTTCTTCTTGCTCTTGGCCACAGTCGATGCCTGCAATGCCTGCGATGCATGACTGTCTAATGACACAGAGCGTGAGTGAGTGAGTAGGGGAGCCCTGAGGGGATGAGGATGAAGAGCATGTAGCATCCTCGACGACAGTAGCAGGGTCCAGGCTGGGCAGCTCTTTGCCTCTGCCTCTGCCTCCACGACCTCTGCCTCCACGACTACGACGGCGACCACTAGCAACAGGAGCAGGAGGAGTCTTCTTCTTGGGGTTCGGGGACGTCAGGTTCCTTCTCTTGGGTGGCATCTTGAAGTTGTGCACTCATCGCTGCACTACTTTGATATGACGGCAAGCAAGATGAGCCACCGCTTTTTATAGGCAGTCATGTGACCGCTGCCGTTCGCTGGCTATGCGTTGAATACGCGGTGCATGCGCGGACCATTTGTTCCGTGCGCTAGCAACATGCTGTGCATTCGTTGAATTTTTAACATGTGCGCTCTGTATTCACCCTGTATACGCGCAGCGCGCTAGCAACACGCTGTGCATTTGTTGTCAACTCGCTAGCTTCTCCCAAATCCTGACAAAAGTTGAGCGCACAACGACGCACTGATCTTATTTCCATTTTGTTATTAATTTTCAATGCACGGGCCGTGCGTCGCGTATGTGTGACTGGTCCATAATGCGAGGTAGTTCGATAAACGAGTTTATTCTGAGCGCTAAAGCAGCGTTTGGTTCTATAATATATATGTCCACAAGCGAAGTCCCCAGTCAGCGGTCCACCTTTGATAGAAAGAAGCCTGGGAATGAAGATGGTCAGCGGTCAACTCTGCAGGATTGAAATACTATACTCGATATATTTCTCTATATGCTCACCAAAAATTGGCGGGAAATTTCAACCGGTATCCAGTGGTAAACAAAAAGAAAGAGAAATATTTTTTCTCGATCTTAGATAGCCTCACACAGTCAGTCTTGCGCTTAGGACCGCGCTCATCAGTCTCTGTCCACCTACCAACTTTGCTAATTAACCTGTTAACCCCGTGGCGGGAGCCGCATGTAATGTGGCTAGTATAGAGTTGGTAGTAGAAAAACAAGATTATATTTATGTGTAGAAAAGAATATTTAATTTTATATTCTCTTTTCAAAAATATGTATAAAATGCGCGTGTAAATAACATTACACACAATAAGATTTAAACAGACAACATACTATTCGTAACAATATACAACAAATTTTTCATCCACAATCCACAAATCTATAGAATTTACATCGTATGTGTATGAGTATGCTTGATGCACACAGGGTACATTATGAAGAGAACAATGAGATATAATACCAAAAAAATGCAGAACAGTTATAATGATAGCGGTCCAACTCTTCTCCCAGATACAGTGCCAGATGTAATTATGTGTATAAAAAATATGTTAAATGTATGTTATATGTAATTATGTATTCAGACCAAAATGTCTAAAACTATACACAACACGGTATTTTTAAGTGCTTAATCAAAGCAAACGTGTGGTAAGCTCATATCAAGATGGACCACACACACACGCGTTCTCTCTACACGCAATAGTTAACATGTAATATTACCATCACGTCATCTGGGTTCTGAACCTACCTACCACACATACAGAAAACTCCCTTAAGAAAATCACGGCATGTGACCAGGAGATGCCGACAGCATCCCCCGCCCCCACACCGCCACACCATTACTGCTTTTCTTTGCCATAGCCTTTGGCCAACAACCCATTTCGCCACTCATCAATTGAGATTGTTGCCGTCTGTGCGCAATACCAGTTGCCAAAATACTGCTGGTGGTCCGGAGCAGTTCTTTGTTGTCTGCATTGCTTGCAGACAACGATCCGCTTTTTTATTTTATTTCCTATGAAATATGCCCTGCTGCTCCTGTTCAGCCTTCCTCTTTTGATACCTTTGTGTGGTATATGGAACAGGCAACATAGAATAAACAGGAGGGGCCACGTACACTGCAATGTTTTGCAGAGGCGGAGGTGGCAATGGCTGGGTAGGCAGTGGCATTATCGCTACTGCAGCCATACCCGACGTGCCTATCCGTTTCCCCGACGTGCCTCTCCGTTTCAGTCTTGCCGTTCCAGCCGTATTGACTGGAGACGGGAAGTGATGACGAGCGGCATCGTCAGTGCTGCCCGACGGCAGGCTCGCAGGCTTGGCGAGCGGAGCTGGCAGACTGCGCACGGTTGTCTCTGACGGCATGAAGTGAATTCCTTGCTGCAGGACGTCCCTTTCCTGACTCTTCCCACGCTGGTTGTACCTAAGCAGTTGCAGAAAGTAACAATATTTTGTGTGGTAATCTTTTTGACCCCGCTGAATTGCTTTCATTTGTTCTTGCAATGAGGGAGAGAACAAACGGTTTGACCTAGTTTTATCTTGTGGGTCGTAATCAAATGAAATATTTTTTTTTGAATATATATGAGAATAAAATTAAGATGAATGGACAAAGGAAAAGATTAACAGAGTGATTACTAAAGGGCACATCCAAATTTTTTTTGGTACCGGCAGTTTTAATTCGAACGAACTTAACCACAGTTTATTTGAGTGTGATGAGTAATTAAGGTTAAACCTACCAATGCAGCAATGTGGCCTTGTTGATCTGAGGCAGTTGGAGCTTTGTCTCCCTCATCACTTGGCGATTGCCCAGGACACACTGCCTGATGTGGCCATAGGCACGAGTGACCATTGCCCAGCGTGTCCAGTTGGTGCCACCTTCCATGCGCCTGGAGTGAGGAAAACCCTCACACAACCTGCTGATGGTGGCCTCCACGTAGCGGTTGCAGTCAGGCCACTGCGCTGGACCAGCGTTAGGGCCCAAAATACACCTTTAATTCAGAAAAAATAGAAGAACGATTGGTAGAACTGTAAAAAAAATAAGCGTATGGGACTAACTCGGTCTTTGCTGGGTAAATTTTCATAAATTTTGGTTGACCTGTCAAGGGTGTAGAATATTAACTATGGATCACGTTATGGCTGCACGGCTAAAAGTCGACCATATTACAATATATATGAGATTACCGTTTCGTGCTCTCTACTCCTGGTGCAACGATCCTCTTCGTGGCCCTGAAATTGCCCTTGGTCTGGCTAGACCTGTGGCGTGGTGAGAAGACAGTTGCCTGCCTGTCGTACGGGCTCAACGCATGCCACAGTCTAATCAGGTCGGTGGCCTGGTCCATGGTCAGGGCGACACTCCGACTGCAGGCCAGCCAAGTACTCGGCCAAGTTCTGTACATGGTCATAGCCGGGGATGTTGTCTGGTCCAACTGAATCCTGATAAAAAGTAAAGAATATAGTGAAAAGTTATCGCGCATCTATAATATTGGCAATAACAAATTTATGACGAGTAATCAATGTAATTTATATAATATAAGAACAGAGAGTTCGATTTTTTAACTTCATTTTCGAGTATTACTTTTAAAAATCTCTACTTACATCCCGGTCAGGAGTACCCTCTGGTGGCTGCTTCTCCGGAGTCTGCTCCACGGCATGCTCTTGCTCAGGCATGACCACTAGAAAAATCAGATAAATAAGAACTCAATGTGATTAATACATTTACCGTAGCACTCTGTTACACTTTTGAGTTTATTGAAGACACAATATAGTGCAAGTATTCAAATTAAGGGAGATGGCACAGCCACCAATTTTCTCAATGTATGTTAATTCGCAGTTGCTAGCGATTATATTTCTCATTGTTAAGTTTCACCATTCAAAGGTCAAAGGGAAATATAGCATCCAGGCTCCTTATACTCTGTATAGCCGAGTGTATAGTTTTGTGCTTTCCATTACTGTGTTACCTACTAAAATGCAAAACTTACAAATCGGATGCGGTGTTGGCTCCTTCATGATGTCAGCATTGTCAACGCGTAGTTGTGCATACTCGTTTTTGTGTGATCACGCCGCGCCGCTGCCACGCGCAAAAGAAACCAGGGAAACGATGGGGGTGATGTCAAGGCGCTAGCATGTATTGTCATACACCACCAACAATCAATATCAGCATCAATGAACAACACCAACAATCAATATCAGCATCAATGAACAACACCAACAATCAATATCAGCATCAATGAACAACACCAACAATCAATATCAGCATCAATGGCCGACGCACTCGTACGGTCTTTCGCGCGCGCGTACCGTCACACGTATGGTTACAAAATCATACAATCAACGCGCGCATACCGCTACGCGTACTGTTACAAAATTATACACTCAACGCGCGCATACCGCTACGCGTACTGTTACAAAATTATACACTCAACAAATTATACGATCAACGCAAAGTAAAACGAACCAACGTAAATCACGCTTGCGAGTCGTCTCTCTCTCTCTCTCTCTCTCTGCCTCTCTTCCTCCTCCTCCTCTCTGTCCTTCTCCGTCGTCGTCCGTCGACCCACGGTGGATGCTCTGCGCCTTCGTCTCCTCTTCTCCTCCTTCTTCCTCTTCGCTGGGCTTGTCTGACCCTCGCTCGGCGCTGCCACGTGTCCGCTGTAGACTTCTAGCTCCCCCTCGCTCACGCACCGTTCTGCTGCGTGGCTCTGTTACACGTGCGACGCTTCTCTCTCTCACGCACGACTCTGCTGCGTGGCTCTACTGTACTGCCTAACTTGGCAAAAACTATGTACTCCTACTTCGCTCACGCGCGGCTCTACTGTCCTTCCCGCTTGCCCTCTCGCACGGTACTGCCCGCCTCGCGCGCGTGCCGCCAGCTGGCCAGGTGCACAGCCTAGCTGCGTGGCTTCGATGCCGGTCGACGGGAACCGGCTAACCGTGACAGGCATATTCCGCATCTGACGGGATGTGGAGGAGCGGCCGGGTCTCCCTTGGTGGAGTAGGGAGCAGAGGTGGGATAAGAGTAGTATCCAGTGTCGGAACGGTGAAATCCGTAAACTCCTCGACATCTTGGAATCCCTCATCCTCTTCCTCGTGCTCATCGGCCTCATCCTCCATCTCTGCATCGGTATTCTCGTGGAGAACTTTACCAGTTTGCTGGTAGAGATACTCCACTCCGATGAGTTCCCCTGCAACAAGAACAATATCAAGAATAAACCAATAACAACTTTTTAACATCTGTCCAACCTTCTTCGTCGTTACATTACGAGTTACATTAAACAAATTGGGTTACCTAGTGAATATTTCCATGGTTATAAGTAAAATGAAAAGAAAATTACCAGTGTATTTTCTTGGCCTGCTGTACGAAGGGCTTATCTGCTTTCCGAGCACCTCTTCACTCAAGGTGTTTGCGGTGTGGCGTAGCAGGCCGCTATAGGAGCGAGGTTCTGTCATCGTCGTCTGTGCGGCTACTGCTGCGCCGTGCCGGTCCTTGTTCCATCTAAACAGGCCATCAACCAGGTACGCCTGGAAGAATATATCGCTGGCTACGGTACCTGGAACGATAGGAAAATATAAGAAACTATGAAGCTACATGTGACGCTTTGGCTTAGTATCTTTACTCGGGGAAAACCTGCCATTTCCCTTCTAATCGTTGCATAAATGTGTGCATTTGTTATTCACGCATTATAGAAGAAGTATTATCTGAGCACTTGAAGATGAAAGGACTCGAGAGAAGTCGACCCTCTCGCACACCGGTATGTGGGCAGCTTCACTCCTCCCTTGAGCAGTGCTTCTTTTGGCTGGTAAAAATTTCGTGCATCCTGGCGCTGTTGATGAGTGGCACCCCCAGCGTGTCTCTGCCTCTCTCACCGTCCATTGCTTCGATCAGCTGCGAGATCAGTGTGATGGTCTCCTCAGCACCGCGCGTTGTCCTGCAGTGCAGGGCCAATTCCTTCCGGTGTAGCCGACGCATCACATCTGCATCTGATGGAGCACTGATGTTCTGCGCCTCCATCTCAGCCCGCTTTGCACGCTTCAGTGCATCCAGATAATCTTGGTCCCACTTGAAGATGGAGTGGCTGAGGCGGCCCATAAACATGGCGTACAATGGACATGCGGCGCATGAAGTCCCAAATGTCGAGCTTTATCTGTAGATCTGGCCAGGCCCGGAGCATTCTTCTCAGTGGAGATGCCCCACAGCAGTCACGATCCACGTACAGGAGCTCGGGGGAGGCACCCCGGCATCACTGTAGGCGTAGCGCTTCACTATCCCTGCTATCATCGCACCAAGGCCGTGTCCCTCACTTGCAGTCAGAACAGACATGAGCACCTGTTCGTATTCATTACCGACATTGGTAACCCATGTTGCCATTCCTGAAGTTTTTTCTGCAAGTTTTTTGACCACTTTCTTTGTCGAGTCCAGCTTTAGGACTCAACCAAAGTGGGAGGTGACACTGGCCTTGATGTCTGGCAGTCTCTGCATGACATCTTGTGCATATACCTGCATCAGCCAGCGATGCTGGGGCACCGGCGTAATTGCTGGAGGGTCTTCGAACGACGAGGGCAGCAGTATGCCAGAAGAAGCAGCGCTCTTGAAGTGCTTGCAGACGGCCAGGTACTGTATGGACTTTTGAAGCCAGTCTTCATTCCTCCAGCTTCCGTTGAATCTGGCTGCTGCTGTTTCCAAGGCCTCTGACGCAGCAGGCGAATGACTTTCATGTTGCTGGCTAGCTTTGCAGTTGAATGCAAATGCAGGGAAACTGGATTTGATGGCCAACATCTAGCTGGGAAATGAGCCCATGGCTCCAGCTGACCACCTTCCTCTTGCATTTCCTGCATTCTAAATACTCTGACGCAATGCTGTAAAAGCCTGCGACTGTAACATGTTTTTCACATGTTATATTGCATTAGTAATTGTAGATAGTTTTAGTTGTAAATATGAGAAGGGTTGGGCGTTTAGTATATAGAGTAGAAATGGCTAGGTTGGGGAACTAGCAGATATATTACAGACGCTAGGTGACGCTTGTACAGATGCTGCCCATATGTGCATTTCGCGCGTAAGTATTCGAATAAGAGAGTGCTGGTGTGTGATTGGCTGGTGTAGAGTTGGACTTGTCATTGATTGGACGAGAGAGTGATATATAAAGAGCGGCAGCGCATTTGAACGAGGTTGGAACTGAGGAACAGACTTGGACAGGAAGAGACGTAGAGACGGTTATATATTGTAAACAATATATTTCTTTAGTGAACACAAAACTATACTTCTTCTTGATTATTTTAAATCTAAATTATTACATATAAACGCGTCTTTACAGTGGTTGTGACTTGCTGTGTGCAACATTGAGTTGGTGTGAATGCGCTGCGCAAATGAATATCGAACCTTGTACAGTCCTGTCCTGACTCCAGCATAGGAATGATTGCCCGTGGCCAAATGCTCTTCCAAAGCCTCCACAGACTTGCAGCCTTCTGAGCAACCAGTCTCAGTGCAAAATAACAGTGGCTGATAGTCTACTTCATCATTTCTACATGAACACTCATTCCTGTTTAGCCGCCGTATGCGAAGTTTCCTGCCTCACGTGATGCTGCTGATCGTATGACGCGCACAAGACTCCCGGAATAGGCAAGACCTCCACCTCCTCCTCCTCCTCCTTCACCAGGTACACGGCCATCAAAAAAACTCACAAATTTCAAAGACGTGAAACGTTACTTGGGCGTAGCTACCCTGTCTAAAGATGGTTTACTTGTGGTGATACGTGAGGTACTATTGTCCCCGTCTCGTGAGTGTATTGTGATCCCCAGATGAAATGACCATGAATACCTGGACAGGCTTTCACCCGACAGCTTCTCAGCCAGAATCAACTCGTGCTCCTTTTGTACTATGTTGAACTGAAGTTTAAAATGGTGGTTACAAATTAGTATTATTATTTTTACATTTTCATGTTCAAAATTAAATATTGATTGATGTGATTCATTGATGATTGTGATGATTGTGGTCTATGTGATTCAATGATACTTGATTTTTTTAAACTGAGTGTATAGGCTCGATCCACTCACGTATAAATTAGGTGTGAAAAATGTCATAACATGGAAAAATACAACTTACCTCTTTCTTTGTTATTCTGCATGCTATTTGTATGAGTGCCTTTTTTGCAGCCTTTGAGTTATGCACTAATACAGAAAATCCAGCTAGGTATCGAAATGCTTCGAGATAGTCGGTTGCTTTTTGTAAATACGTTTTATTAAGATGAGCCTCGCTGTTGCTCTCTTGCGCTCCCGCACGCCGCCAGGGGGCGATACCGCGAGCTCGGCGGGGGCCGAGCGCGCGTGACGCGGCCCCGCAACCGTGTCCATCCGCACGTAGTCCTGCCTGTCCGCACCGCGACCACCACCCCCGCGGGGAGCGGCTGGAACGCCGCTGGGTGTGTCACGCCGCCAAGATGGTGGTGTCCATTGTTTTGAGAAGGGATGCAACCTGAAGTAATAGTGAAGTCTAACCGTATTACTTTGACTTGTAAATAGCTTCGAAACTACCACCCAATGATTCCCATTTACAAACAGGGGCTGAATGAATTTTATGGATTGGGACATTGATTTTTCTACATTTTGCACAGACATGAAACCTTGGTGTTAAGGATAATTATCGCATAATAATCCAGATGCAAAATTTATGTGCATGTCATCCAACCAATGACTGTTGCTTATTTTATTGAAATCTGCCTCTTTCAACTTAATATTAGATATGTTAAACGTCGGTTTAGATCCCGACGTGATCACGGATTCCACCTCATTGGAATCACTATACTGTCGTCATGTAAGTTTTGTTGGTTTAGAAGATTAAAATCATGCATTCGGAGTGTAATGTTGGCCAACATATCTAAACCATTACACGTAACTATATCAGCGAGAGCAGAGGGATGGCAAGCATCTTGGTCACGGCATGAATTTCCCCTATATGGTTTGAGATGCACCAGAGAAACTTTTTTTTTTAATAAACCCCCATTATTCTTTTTTAGAGTAGCACAGCCTTGATAAATATTGTGAATTTCGTATGGGCCAACCCATTCATTTTCCAGCCTAGAGCCCTTTCTGCCTATTTTCCTGTAATTTTTTTTGAGAACGTGGTCTCCTATCTTGAATATAAATGCCTTAAATCCTTTAGACTGGCGAATGTGGTACTATTTTTTTGTCTTGTGCCGTATGTATGTTTGCTTTCACTTTTACAAAGCATGATTCCATGTCTTCAATCCTATTTGTGATAGTTTTTGTGTCTGGTTCTGAGGTTGGTAACATGGGAGCATACTGGTGGTCATCAAGCAATGCGAGCTCAGAGAATAGCTTTGGCTCTCTCCCAAACATAAGATAAAAAGGGGAGAACTTTGTTGAAGCTTGTTGAGATGTATTTATGCTATAAGTAATGGGGTCAAGTAGTGTGTCCCAGTTATTTTTATTCTCATTTGACAGTTTTCTTAGTGCTCGTTTAATTGTTTGATTAGTTCGCTCATCCTGTCCATTCGTTTGTGGGTGCTAAGCCAATGTAATGAGGTGTTTTATGTTGAATTTTACCAACAATAATCCATTTATTGACTTACCAATTTCTCTGCCTTGGTCAGTAATTATTCTTTCTGGTGGGCCATATTGGTAGAATATTTTTGTGTAAGAATTGCAGACGGCTTCTGCTTCTTTGCGTTGAAGGGGGAAAGCAACCACATATTTTGTAAAAAGATCTGTCATTGTAAGAACATATTTGAAACCATTACTTGTTTCTGGAAGGGGACCAATGAGATCAGCTCCAACGACTTGCCAAGGCCGGATAGTTATTATCGGATGAAGCTCAGGCGTAACTGTTTTTATCGTTTCCATTTTTTGGCATTTATCACATGACTTAATTCTGTTAGTTAGATCAGATCCCATCCCGTACCAATAATACCTACTAGTTGCCTTCTGCAAAGTTTTGTTGATTCCCATGTGGCCCCCATGCTCTGAATCGTGGCAGTCTTGAAAGATTGTCATTTTCCTCATTGGTGAAGATGCAACGTCGTCCTTTCCCATCCGTTGTCACATACATCAGTATTCCAGCTGCAATATATATGGCAGGAATATGATAGAATAGGATAGAAAGAATAGCTTATTATTGCCCGTGAAAAAATACTGATGGGGTTAAACATAGTTTCAGGGCGCGAAACGAGGGAGAAGCAAACAATATTTGGTAAGGAAGGGTGAGTAAGTGAGAATGAGCAAGGGATATGTGTGTGTGTGTGTGTGTGTGCGTTGCGTGCGGCGTGCCGTGCGGCGCATCCAACCCGGAATTGCAGGTGGCGCCGTGGGTCTGGCATGATGTGTACGCTGAAAGAGAGAGAGAGAGAGAGGGAGCAAGAGTACTTGCTTATATTATAATTAATATTAAACCAGTAATATATGTAAATATCTTCGTCATAAAATTCCTTTGCCTATTTCCGAAGGGTTTGTCGGTATTTGGTCATATGTTGAAGGTACACTGCTTCTCGCACATAGTTTCTGACATCAATTAATGAATGGGGCTTTTTGTCCTCAAGTTGCTGTAAAATTATTAATTTATAATAAGATAAGATATATGTTCCAAGCAGCCGATTTCTTCGTGATTTATATACCTTAACACGGCTGGTTTTTACCTTCAAACACTTCATCATTGGCCTCCGTCCGTCTCGGAAGACAATGGATTGCGCCCTGTTTGGCCGGAGCAACATCTACGATGACTGTACAGGCCTATCCTAGAGTGGCAGTCCTTGTTGCAGTCCTCGCAGATGAAGATTGTGTCGTTGATTGGATGTGATGCCTTCTTTTTGTGTTGTCTCAGCGCCCTGAGCTCACTACGATCCTCCTCTGCCCTGATTACTCCCGATCTCACAGTATGCTTCCAGGAGAGGCAGTCTTCTGCATGTCCTCCATATCTATATGTGCTGACTGAGGGTTCCTCTTGCACGAGTCCTTGTATCTTAGCTGGGGACGGACTGTGGGACGAGTACCATATTCCAGCTGGCTGTACAGGTAGGGATTCAGTTTTGCCTCTTGTCTGTTATAGTTTGTCCATGTTTCGCTTCCATAAAGGAGAGTACTGAGGAAACAAGCCTGGTAGACTAAACTTGGTGCACAGTGTCCACAACCACAACCACATCCACCGTAACCACATGGTAATTAAAACTCGTGGTAGTATTAGTATTTTACCACAGACTATTAATCATGTAGAACTCATATCTTACCTTATCCTTGGTGTCTTAGTCGTCGGCATCTGTCTCCTCGGCGGCTCTTTCAGTTCCCCCTACTGTAGTGGCCCTAGGGGTGGCCAGACTGGACTTTCAAACGTGCTGCGGTTAGCACGTGTAATTTATTTGTGTCGGGATCCTTTTCTGCTCCT